TTGTTCTCAAACAAAAGCCCTGTGGCATCCTGTGGCTGTGGCCTTCAAAGAGCATCTCTTCAACGTTCTATCTTGCCATGTCCAGTCGATCCTCCAGACCACGACCTGAAGACTTGCTCAAAACAGTGGCTGCTTCAGTGGCGCTGCTGAAGATCTGAATGCAGTGTCATGGAAGGTTTCATACCTTAGCACCTCGTGCATGGAGCTCTGACGAGCCCCTTCTTTTCCTGGCAGGCCTAAGTAGAGTCTCTTCTGCAGCTCTCATGGCTTCTTCTCGGCTGACGAAACCAAATCTCCGACAAGTCTCCGAGACAAAGCCCCAAGGCCGGCCGCGGCTTCTGTGATTCGTGCCGCGGGTGATGGTCACCATGGAGCCGTCTGCGAGCTCCTTCGGTGCCTGCACAAATCCGATCACCGAATCGCGTTCAGGAGGTGATTCAGTGATGCCATCGATTCCATCGCGGGACTCTGACTCGTGCAGAGGTGGAGATGGCGAAGGAGATGGTACAGGTGAAGGCGCCAGTGAAGGTGCTGTTGAAGGCGCTGGTGAAGGTGCAGGCGAAGGTGCTGGCGACTCAGCAGCAGGTGCAAAGCGCCACACTGAAGCGAAGCGCGGCTTGCAGGAAATCCACTTGATTCGGGCTGGCACAGATGCCGCAGACTCCTCAATACCAGGACCCTCTGTGCCATGAGAAAGGTCAGGATCTCCCGACCTGTGCTCCACACTGGGTGGCACCAGCGAATCTCGAGGAGCCTCGGCGGCTTCGCCTTGCTTTGCTCTGTCCTGGCGCTTTCCTCCAGGAGCAAGAGGTGCCAGAGGCGCCCGCCCAAATGCAACTGGGGTAGTTGCCTTGCCCCCAACGTGGGACAGAATCTGCTGCGCTTCAGCTGAGGCCGCATCTGCATGCAGCCAGGACAAAACATTTCCCCACCCAGGAGCACTTGCAGACTGGACAGGGTTTCCGTGGCTGCTCCCACCTTCAGCAGGAATCTTGGCAGCGCAAGAGGAAGCGGGAGCTTCTGGAAAGGCAGCCATGAAGCTAGGGCCCAGGGGCAGTCTGCCAACTTCATTCTCTTGAGTATCCTCGTCCTCTACTGTGGTGGCCTCTGGCTCGGCCAAATCTGGCTCGGAGGATGCTGCCCAAATCTGGCTGAGCCATGGATGCTCGATCACATCGTCTAAGGTCAGTCTGTGTTCTGGTTCATGCCTCAAAAGGCCCAGCAACAAGTCACGTGCCTCTGAACTAACCCTTTGCCACGCTGCTGATCGGAAAGTGAGCTCATTCACCTCCTCACCTTCCTGTGGGTGGGCTCCTGCCAGCATAGCATACAAAGTCACACCAAGCGCAAACACATCAACCTTGACAGCATCATAGTTTTCTTGTCCGGGTAGAACATGCCGCGTCTCAGGTGCTCTGTAGTACTTTGTTCCTCGGAGGAGAAGTATAGCTCTCGGCCACAGCAATACACTGGCTACATCTGGCTATATACAAACTTTATTGGTCTGCAATGCTCCCGCGACACGTATAAACAAATCTGCTAGCTGCTAGCCGCTAGCCATGTTCAGCCATTGAAGCCTCCCTTCTTCCCTGATTCTCAAGTGTAAACCGCTGCAAACCCCCATTGGTGCATCTTTCTTCCATCCAAAGGCCACTCCAAATCAAAAGGGCTCATGGAGCGCACAGGTGAGGGTCACACCAAACAGGCCCGGCCCGCTGATCACAACTAGAAAGGAAAGCAACTACTAGAAATGGCCTCTAGAGATGGCCTCCAAAGTAGAAGCAATGGCCTGCAACTACTGAACAAGTTGGTGCACAATTTGGGGATCGTTATCGGGAAAGGAAAAAGCCACCCTGCATGTCAGGGTTCCCAAGAATGGCGTTGAAGTCCCCGAAGAGCAGCCGCTGATGTCCTTGCTGAGGCCAAAGTCCACGAGTTTGACGACATCTGGCTGTCCAGGTCGCAATGGGTCAGCAAGTAAAATGTTGTGGGGTTTGAAGTCCCGATGCACTACATCCATTGCATGGCTGTGACGAAGAGCTTCGGCCATTTGCGCAAACAGACCTCGGGCGTCGATTTCCGACAGGCGGCCCCGTCCCATGAGGCGTCGTCCCAGATCCGTGCCACGGACGTACTCCATGATGATGTAAAACTTGCGCCGGAAGGCAAAAGCATCGTAGACCTTCACAACGCCTGGATGTCCCCGCAGCTTCAGCAAGTTCCGCACCTCAAATTCCAGTCGTGCAACCCAACGGACCAATCTCTCTTGATCAGACCCCACTCTGGAGGAGAGAATTTGAAGATCCACTTCTTTCACGGCGTATGACTCAACACCCCGCTTCCCTGCATCAATCCGCTCGTAGCGGTACACATCCGCAAAGCCCCCGCTGCCCAACAATTCTTTTTGACAAAAGCGGGCCGAATCGAGGACAAAGAGCCCGGGTTCCTCCACAGTGGCTTTGCCCGATGTGGATCTTGGCTCCGCCTCCCCAACATCACCCTCGCCTTGCTTGGCGTCTGTATTCCTGGGCAGCATGATGATGTCATCGTGGCAAGGGTTCAAAAAGCCCAATCCAAAAACATGGATGACAGATCTCATTCCTTGACGCACGTCTTCTTCAGAGGGCTCAGTTCGAACCACCAAGTAACGCCGTCCCAGGAGCTCGACATTGCGAATGAGTTGGCCCCAACGTTCCTTGCCATCGATGCGGCTGATGAAGTGTAGAGGCATTTCCTCCTCCAACTCAGGCTCATGAGGTGAAGCGATCTCGACCTCCTCGCTTGAATTCCCAGTTTCATGTCCTTCTGAAAAGGTTCGACGATCCCCTGACACAATGCAGAACTCATTGACATCTGTCACCATTGATTCCGGCGATCCAGCAAAGGAATCCATGGTGTTAGACCTGCGAAAATCGGACTCTCCAGACTTCGGAGTGACATCAGGAGATACTAAGTGTACCTCTCCACTCTGTGGAGTCCTCGCAGTCGTTTCTGAGACCCGGAGGCCCAGCTCAGAGCCGCTCAGCTCCGAATCCGAAGGCGCCGAAGCGGAAGGCGCGTCTGCCTGCTGCATGGCCTACGGAGCAGTGGGGCCTGCCATCTCGGCCCATCTGCTTGATGTCTGTGCTGTGTTTTGTCACTGGCTCGTGGTGCACAAACCCACGGTAAGTACCAAGTTGGAGTTTTGTGTTCAATGATTCAATGATCAGAGTCAGAGTCATCAGAGCACCCCAAACTGTGTGTGTGTGTGACTGTGATTTATGTTTGAATATGTTTGACTGTTTTGGGGAGGTGCATCGACACCATGTGGGCCAGTTCTACTTGTTGAGCCAAGGTAAAGCAGGAATGCCTTGCAGAGAGATTCTGGCAGTGCGTAGAATGCTGCTTGACCAACACAGGACCAGCACTGCAAACTGCAGACCCTTAGTCCCAGTTGTTGCCAGGCTGTCAGAATGCACTGTAATCAGTAGAAAGCAATCCATGAAAACCGCGGCAGGACCTTCCAATAACCCCCAGCTCTGGATGTGCAAAAGAAGGAGGAAGCTGTCTCCCTCACTTTCGAGAACGTTCTTTCGAGACCACCTGAGAGAGACTCTGAGAGGATGGAGGACTCCATCGTCCAGGTGTTTTTTTGCAAAAAAAGAGGGTCCTACTAGATTTGGAGGCTTTCTGCTTCAAAAGAAACATGGTGCGGTTCATGCACCACGATATACCGAACCCGGCTGAAAACTATACCTCACTAGACTTGGATCATGTTCGATGCCTTCCCGCGCCTCATCGATTCACACAAGTCCTGCAACCTCACTTCACAGATTCACACACTCTCTCAAAAGCAGCGACCGTGCAAAAAGAACGGCTACATACTAATCAAACAACAGTACTGTATATTAATTGTACTTAAAAGGCGGAGCGACCTCAAGCAAACCTCTCGAGAAGTTTGGATGCAACCAAACTATACTAAGTTCATATGTTTGTTTCAATTCCGAGTTCAACGATCTTTTGTGTTGCTGTTGAAGCATTTGTACCCTTCGATTCTCACGTGTGCTAGCGCAAGAAGAACTCAACGAGGATAGATTTCGTTCGCTTGGGGGTTCCGGATGTTTCTGGAGGAACCTAAGGCGGCGGCATAGTGCTGCACAGGGAGCTGGCAATGAATCGAATTGTAAGTGCCATTCAGCTGCTATGAAGGAGATTCGGGGATTCTGATGAAGCTGCACTTGACATCATGACATCTCTAGTTCGTGCTAGCGGCTACATAGCGGACAGCATTGAGAAAAGCAAGGAAGATCCTATCTCCATTATGCAGCTTCAACATGTGCAAGAAGCGTTCGGATGTCGAATTAATCTTTTCACCACTGGAGAACTGACTCTGGGGCGTGGCACAAGGCCCTGCCAGTGCAACCAAATCAGCCCCACTTCCACCAGCAGTGGGGCTCCATCAATACCTAGCTTCACAAAGTTTCCATCCGTTTCCCAAATATCGGTCTATATCAGTCTTCTTGTCTCCACTACCTAAGATATTACGAGCATACTTACAAAGAGCAGTTCGTTTCCAACATGCATCTTTTCACATTGGCTTCCTCCCAGTGTCAAGGGCCACCAAACGGGTGGACGAAGTCAACCAACCACCATCCAACGACAAACAACATGAAACTGTAATGACCACGTATACCGTATGACATGCAACACTCCGTACCAGAAATGAACAGGAATGCAAAGCGCTTTAAGACGGGTTTCTTCATTCTCAGGGTCAAATGCAGGTCAGCAGGTTTTGTGCCGGTCGCCGATCACACATGGTCTAGACGTGAGAAGGCTGACGATGGCTGAACATCACAACCGGAGCCCTTGCGGGAGGCCGTGGCGTAAAGCGAAAACATCGTCGCTTGCATCAGCAGGTGCCAATGCAAATCCCGCTGGGCCTGGTGAAACACGTATCCAAACTCAAATGATGAAACACTGCTTTGGTGCCTCTGGTGAAACACTGAGGCAAGTCAGGCGTCTCAGCACCAAGTCTGATTGCACTGATGTTTTTCCTTTCCAGCACATCTTGTTGGATGAGTCCCTGTGAAATTACATGTGCTTCTGTGACACAGAATGCATCCCAAATTCAAGGGCATGTGGTCAGTTTTGTCTTATGGCCTTTCATGATTTCATGATATTTCATGACCTCAATTGAACACATTTCGACATCCACGCCAGGTTTCGTTCCATGTAGGCTCATCATCTGCCTTGGGACTTGGCCGCACTGGCTTCTCCACTTTCTCGGTTTCCCGCTTCGGTACGTCCTCAGCCTTCTTTCGCGGCGCTTCTGGGACATCCGAGCGGGTCGCGGGCTTGGGGAGTGGCTTGTTGGCTGCCTCAGACTCGAAACTTCCTCGCTTCGTGGGCATCTCCTTTGGAGCGCAGTGCTGCGAGAGTTGTGCTCTTTTTGAGACTTGAAGGCATCCTTAAATGTAGCACAAACAGGAGAATAAGCCGTTCAGGCGACTGGATGCAAATCTATTGATATATTATTATATAAGTGCGTTTTGCCGAAGGCGGAAGAAACCACCTCATGGTTCTCAACATTTTGCGATTCCTCATTTCCTCAGTGTAACGAGAATTCCACAAAAATCCTGATCCTTCATATTAATTGGCAACTTTCTTCTTGGAGAATTCTCTTGAATTGTCCAAACATGTCCACGCGGCAATGCGCACGCGTGTTCCCTACCTCCACGAACTCAACTAGCCACTTAACCTTTGCATTGCCTACCGATTCCCGAACACTGTGCGTAACTCCATCCGCCGGGTCTGTGTCCCATTCTTCCAAGCAGTCCTTGGGATAAACGTAGAAACCCTTCATGAGAAATTGAAAGTCCTGCTTCCAGCGGTCCGAGAACAGTGATTACATGCCTATTTGATGCCCATCAGCCGGCACGGCCTCATGTCCAGTCCTCCCACTCCAACCAAAAGATTCCATCAGCTTTGAAGTCCACTTCCAACGCCTCTGCAACTTCAGGATGCGCTTTCCACTCCTTGGGGCACGGCGCTGCTCGATGACCCGACAGCCGGCCCACCCACCAGGTCAAATGATTAGACCATCTATTTATCTAATTGTTTAATTTGGACCATGTTGGATCCGCGCTGCCAAGATTGGTTGGATGATTCCATGATTTGGCACCCTCAGTGGTGGTGTGGTGAAACTCCACAAGTCACAGCTAAGTCTCCTGGGCTCCATCTTTCCATCCGCCCAGCCATTCTTTCCCCTCGCCTTTGCCCCAAGGGTTTCGCAGGCACACCATGCGAAGCCCGCCAACCTCTCTGACACTGAGCAGAGAATAGGAGTGCGGCGAAACAAGACCATCCTGCAGGGACCATTCACTGTCAGTGGAGTTGAAAGGGTCCTACTGATCCTATCTACTCAGTGCACACCTTTGGAGACAAACAATACGTCTCGGGGCTCGCCCAGGTCCAGGTACTTCTCGCGGCGCCATTCTTCCGGACTTACGATGCCAGCAGTCATGAGATAGTTGCGAGCATCGTAGTCGAGCAACATCTGAAACCTGGAGGGCTGAGGGTGTGGAGAGCCCCATGAGCTTTTGGTGCTTCTGACCAAAGTATGCCGGCGACAGGGATAGATGTAGTTAGTGCGGTAGTTTTAGAGCTATTTAGCCACACTGCCTTCTTGATTGACAACTTTGGAATCCAAAGGTCCTCTACCGTACACCCTGCACATATTGTAGTTTTACCAAGTTTACGTTTATTGATTCCAAGGGTTGAATGTGTTCACATTTGTGGGCGCGCCTTTGACCGCAAGATGTCTGAAAGGACACATCATAATGACATGTGAGTATTTCAGAGCTGCTCCCAAATCATCTCCACACACTTGAATATGTACATATATATATATATGTATGCAAATGGTCAAGCAACGGATCGTCCACCTCCTTCATTTGACCAATCTTTTGACCCATGGAGGAGACCACATTCTCGCGCATGTGCCATCGAAACCAACCTGCCACAGGGTTTGCTCATATTGGCCACGGACCGAGCGCAAGTCCAAAAATCAGCCCAGCGACAACCCCAATAGCAAAGCCGAGATTTGATGACAACAAAATACCCGCACCAAACCAGACAGAAAGTGCACTCAAGAACAAACGCAAAAATTACGCACGAAAAATATTTCTGCGGACAACCTGTCTAAAATCGGGCATCTTGTGATCCAAAAGACTTGTGACCTTAGAAAACAACACTGCCTCTTTTTACAGGAGCCTAACTAAGCGAATACTGACCAGCAAACATGATGTTTTTCAACAGTAAACAAAAAGATATATCTAAGCAGTGGATGTATGAACATGTGCCAACGCATGACTTATACACGAACGATACAGGAAACGATAGGAAACGCAGTGTCAAACAAACAGTTCTTACCTGAGGAAACATTCAACCAACACCAACATAATATGTAGAAATACAATCACGGAATTTAGACGCGCAGTTATACAAAAACAACCCATATCCAAGCAGAATGTACGTTCCATTGAGCATCATGTATGCCGATGACCAAAGTTTAAGTGCAATTATACGCAAACCATTTGCAAAACCGAGAGGCAGGCTCGCCACAAGATATCAAGTTCCAGCGGAAAACAAATTCACAAAAATCATGCTATATAAGCGCAAGAGGTGGTTGGACATGGGCCTGCGCAATCTCCACACAGACAAAGATTTCATAAGGGATCAATGCAACCATATGACAAAATCATTATACCACCACCAAAAAAAAACACGATGTATTTTCATCACGAAGCATTATCTATATACGACAGGCGTACTGAACGCAATTCTCAAACGGAACATATATAGTTCAAGCACTTGCGCCACAGGCGACACGCGTTTGGACACGCAAGCGCGTAGTTTAACCGAACGCTAATGCAAAAGAAAATGTCGACATAAGCAGAACGCGCATTTACTCGCCAGCTCAGATTCTATACCAACAATATACGAGGAAACCCTTCTCAAGCAAAACAAATTTGTTACATATCGACGCATAGCTTTTACACTCACGCGCAATGTAATTTTGAAGTGCCAGAACAGGTCTATGGGCATGCAAGCGCACAGCCCATATACGCAAAAAACATCAAAAAAATATCAAAAAACTGAGTCCGAGATGCAGCTACATTATAAGCGAGAGAGACACAACCAAGACATCCACAAATCAAACCACTGCCAAAATAGAACCAAAACACCGCCAAATCAGCAAAACAAGACACACGCACCACCAAATTATAACCAACACACCACCCAAATATGAGCAAGACACCTGCGAAACATGGTCGGAATACCACCTTTTTTTACCGAGACACGGACACCAATCAAACATGAGCGAAACAACACCGAAACATGATCAAGACACCGCCAAAGCACAACCGATGCACCACTAAAACATGACCAAGACATCACCTAAACATGATGCGCATACCGCATAAACATGACCCAAACACTGCCCAAACAGGACCAAGACACGGCCAAAACATGACCGAGACACCACCTAAACATGACCAGCGCACCACCAAAACATAACCAGCACACCACCAAAACATGACCGAGACACCACCTAATCATGACCGAGACAAAGCAAAAACCTGACCGAGACACCACCTCAACATGACCAGTCATGATGACAAAGACACCACCTACAGAAACCCGAGACGCAACAGAAACATGACCGAGATACCACCTCAACATGATTGAGACACCACCTAAAGACGACGGAGGCCCACCTAAACATGATCGAGACACCGAGACACCACCGCCCAGGCCAGGGGCCGTGGATCCCACGGTGCCCCGCCGCCTAAAGAGTGCACAACCTGAAATAAGCAATTGCGGAAAAAGCAAGTACAAAAAATGTGTAGTTTGGAAGTGCAAGTGCAAGAGTGAGAATCCAAACAAATCCCGCTGTACAGCTTTGAGTTGTTCATCTACATCACCTACCTTTAATCCTATCACCTACAGCTCTCTACTCGGCTTTTGATCCTCTCGGGTGCACAAACCCATCCCGAACCTTTGATCTTGATGGTCCGACGACCTGCCACATAGCTGGAGATCCAACCCGAGCTGGGGAAATCAGTGTTGCGGAAGTTGATGCGTTGGCCATGGATTTCCTGGGCGACTTGGTCCGATGGAGTCAACAGAGTGTCACAAGGAGATCTGGCGGTCTCAAACCCTCAAACCTTGATGCCAAGCTTTTGAATATGTATATATATATATATGCTACCCCCCAGTCTACCATTTTGACCGTTTGTGATGCTGTGCACATGATTGGCAGGCCCACCTGCTACAGCTTTTGACATTGCAAACTTTGTGGAAGAAGAAAGGAGATGCCAAACAGTTGATGAGCAGTGGAGGCAGCCATGGAACACTTTTTTTGAGGGCAGATGCGATCAAGCCTGCACGGCAACGCCAGGCACACGCACGAGTTCCCCAGCGCATGTCAGACCCCCGGCGCCAGTACCGTGAGCTGCTTACCTCCTGACAACTTGTGCTTCACAATCTTGACAAAGGTAGGCTTCTTCCAGATCCATTTAAGCCCTTGTGCTTGACCCGCTTTTTCTTGTGCGCCGGTGCACACCAGGAAGCTTCAGCTTGTAGGCCTTGGCGGAGTCTGTGTGAAAGATGATGGTTTTTCCAGCCAAGTGCTTCTTCCCCAATGGAGTCCAATCATGCTGGGCGGTGGGCCCAGGGCCTGGAGAACGACGAACGGTGAGGGCATGCTTCAAGCGAGTGAGGATGAGAGTGTCTGGCTTGCCCCTCTGCGCCAGGCCACACCATTGCTCCCATAGAAGGCATTTGTCTCCTTCGACTTGCTGGTTGAAGTTCGGGTCTTGGGAGACGTCACGCTTGTCAAACGTGACCTCATCAACTTCCACGTCGGTCCACCCCTTGTTCTTTGCAAAGACAATGTCCTTCTCTTTCTTCTCGACGTGCTTTTTGCGAACTTCTTCCAGGCGCCATTGCATACTCTCCACGGCTTTGTGGTTGATGCCCAAGGCGATGTGGATAGAGACCAAGGGCGCACGGAGAAGCAGCAACAAGAGCATAGCCTAGCAGATTGCACTTGGAGGGAATGTCCTTCTGGCCCAAGACAAGCTTGGAAGATAGGATGCCAGTGCTGGGGGTGAACCCTTTGCTGGCAACTTTTGCGGGAGCATCTGTAGTTGGCCATATTTCCTCCACAGTGTGCTTTAAGTGAAGACAGTATGCCTTGGTTGCACTTGGGACACACCTTTGCCCAATCTGGAAGGAGTTTGTCTGCAATCAAAGCCTTGACGATCTGGACATCTGAAAAGATCATTGAGCGACATTGCGCTTCCATTGCCCGTGCACCCGACGAACACCACGCGCTGGCACACGACGAACACCCCTGACATAGGGAGCCATTTTCCAAGCAGCTGACTTCATGGAAGCCGGACGCTTCAGCACCACGTTCTTGGGTTCAGGGAAGGGGTTGAATTTCCTTGTCATGGCAGCAAGAAGCGAAGGTTGCTTCTTAGGGAACACGATGATCTTTCAAACGGCTTCAGACATATCCACGTCGCAATGTGTTTGCAGAACCTTTGCGGCCCACTTGCTGGCAGAACATGTGAAAGCTTGCGCACAAGTGGGTTGTTGACAGACGTTTTCAAGTAGGAGAACAACAATGAAGCTTTCCACTGTTCACAGCGAAAGCCTTTATGATAAATTTGCAAACGTTTGCACTTAGACATCTCACGCGCACAGTGACAGCTCACCTTTTCTCCCAGCAGTCAGAGTAAGCACTCCTGATAAATTGCATAGTCCATCAAAGTCATAATCCATCAGGCCCAACCCATTCTCATCTAGCATCTCAGGAGCCATGGCTTCTTCAGCCACTTGCGCTAGATCTTCAAGATGTTGAGTTGAGGAGAAGGAAAGGTTTTCGGACTGGTCTTCGACCGCACACGACGGTTGGGGCTCGGATAAACAAAGGCCCCACGACGACGCCGGCAAGGACGGGTTCCAATTGGGGACACCGGCCGCACTTCATGGTCTTCTTCACTTCACTGGTCTGAAAGCTAGGAAGCACACGGACGCCCTGCTGTCGGAACAAGTGGTCCTGAATCTTGCCATTCGTGAAATGTATAGTCCTGGCTTTTCATCTTGTTGACTGTCTCATCAATCATGGCTGGCCCTCGTTGCACATCGGCGTCGAAAGCGGGACCAGTTTCCATGCAACCCGTCTTGTCACCGTCTTGTACTTCCCATACTGTGGCTTGTCTCTGTCTGCAAGCAAGCCTTTGCGCAAGTCATCCAAACAGATGCAATGGATTATGGCGGTGGATGGTAGCCACTTTGTCCTCGCTGGGCAAACGAAGATACAAAGCTGAATCTGAGAAGAGAAAGATGATTGCACGCTTCAGCGTTGCCAGCACGTCCTTTTCTTTCTCCCCGGCAAAGAGGTCATTCAAGAAGAGTAAGAAGTCTCCAGCAGGCAACGTAGTGCCAAGCTTCCTTTGCTTGGCTCCACCATCCTCCTTCAAGTCATTGGAAGCATATGCTCTAAGCTGGTTTCTGATGAGACGAGTGTCGTTGTAGCGAGCTTCGACCGTGCCATCCTCATCTGACGTCAGAAAGCTCTTCAAATCAGCGATGGACACTTTCTTTCTTGATGGATCATCTAGAATCTAGAGGGGCCTTGCGTCTGAAATTGTCCAAGGATTTGGCACGGCGCCAGCCTGCTTTCAAACCTTCATTCCCACGCTGACGCGCGTGATACCTTCCAAGGGCCATTGACAAAATGATGAGAAAGGGCGTTTTCCCAACGCCTGGACAGCCTAGAAGTAGGACGCCACAGTTGAGGAGAAGCGGGTAGATGAAGGGCAGCAAAACCTCGTATATGAATGGCTCAGGCCGTAGGTATTCAAGGGGAACTGTGTCATGGATATGGCTCCTCCCAGTCCCTTGCTCTTGTTCTGGCACATGTGGTGGACTTTTGAAACTTTTGCCTCGGGCCAGCCAGCAATTGGCGTGCCAGAATCGGGTTTGATGTTGACGAGGATCCGCAAGGTTTGTTCATTTCGCGCTTCACACTCAGGTGCCTGGACATTGATGAACATGACGCCTTCCTGCAGTTCGGCGTTGGATGGAGAATAGGCTGGCTTCGGGGCATTGTCTTTCACAGCCTTTTCGTGCAAAGTGTCCACCACTGCACACGGAGCTGGCCACTTGAAAGGAAACCGGCCGAGGCAAGTAGATAAGCTTGACCACATCGATGTTGCCACCATCCTTGGAAACAAAGATGAAGTTGACTTTGGACTCTTGAGGAAGTGTACCCTTGAATTGGACTGCTGCTGGAAGGCTTCCCAAGTTGGTCGCAAGCTCTCCAACGAGTTTTTCAATGTTTTTACATGAACGGATGTTGAGGCGAACATCACATATAACGTTCATGGCTTTGGCCGTTTTGGCACATGGCCGGAGTGCACCTGCCATCAAGTCAGCCACAGATAAAGGTTGCGGCGCCTCCATCAATCCACAAACTGGCTTTTCCAAAGCTGTCAGGACCCACTGCTGGGCAGACAGCTCCTGGAGGTCCTTGTCCATCAGCAATCCCGACATTGGATGCGCGCGTGCGAAGGCAAAGCAATGGATCCAAAGGATGTCTATGTGGGATGTTTTGGGCCAGATGCAACGCTTGAAATCCAGAAGTGGACGCAGACGCAACCAGAATTGAAGACCAAGTGCAGTACGGCTGTCAGGTGTGGGCATCCATTCAAGCCCACCAAGATCGCCTGCTTCACGGGCGAGAAAATGAGTCCTGTTCTTTCCAAGGCCTCTGACTGCAATTCGTCGGCCTCCACACGCAGCATTGGACGTTCAGCCGGCTTCCCGGCTTTCTCTGGGCCGATCGTCTTGACAAGCCTGAGGGTTGCTGAGGCCAGGTGGACAAGGCAAATGAAAAACATCACGAGCTCCGTGGCTGGCCACATTGAGCTAGCTGCTGGCATGACCCAAGCATTCCATGAGCACTCTCATCTCACGCATTGGGAGATCCCCTTCTTGGGAGATCCCCTTCTTTTGCATGTACTTCAAGATTTGAGGCCAGTCAGGGAAAACAAACATATTCTTTGCCATCCTTGATCGTCATATACTCCACGCTGAGAGTCCTCCCCCGCGACGGCCTCCAATCCGTCGAGGTACCAGCACACGGCCTAAGAAAGAAGTCGCCTTTTCATCAGTGCTCGCCATGTTCCGGACATGTCGGGGAAGCCAGCTCTCGTCATATTGCCCAGGCGCCTTGAGGTCCCCAATGGCAGATCGTGTCATCTTCTTGAACTCATTGTCATAGGGTGCCCAGCAAAACGGTAAACAGGCTGTCCATCTCTTGACCAATACTTGAAACCTTCTCCAAAGACACTCAACCGTCATCTCGAGTTCTGAAAAGCTCTCGGCACACACATCTAGATCGGGGGCGGCGATCATGCATGAAGTCACCGCATTGGTGCGCCAAATCAGACGGCGCTCATGGTACACATTGTCGTCACGTCGATAATGCCTCCTCCGCGTTTCCTCGGGGAGCTCGATGGGCCATGAGGCTTCGTTGGCGTCAGCCAGCGGTGAGCTCCAACGAAAATCAGCGCAAATGAGGCTCCGACCAGGTATCACGGAGGTAGGCTTCATGGAACCTCCCTTACTCCTTGAGCCAGATGTCACCCAGTGCCATCTGAACAAACAGCGTCACACCGAAAAGACCTCTACCATCAATCTTCCTGTGAGAACACTACCATTTTTCCTCGGGTCTTCAACCACACTTGTACATGTCCTGCTTGAAACACATCTCCATACCGATCTTTCGGGAGTGGCATGTATGCATATATATATAAGAGAGAGAGAGATGATATATATATATATATACACATGCTATGTGAATATGTACACGCTATGAACCGCACGCAAATCCGAAAAAAAAACAAAAGTACAGACGTAAAGACAAGCTTGCAGCGTCCATTTATACAAAGCCGATGTGATTGCAACGAAGCCAGAGAAATGAGATGCAAATGAACATGTTTCTCAGAAGGGTGGGGGTGCGACTTTTTCTGGAAATCAAACTTAAACTTTGATGAGACACCAGAATCTCCAAATTCGCACCTTCAGGAAGAACTCCTGGCAGCTTGCTGCAGCTTGTAGCTCAACATAATCTATTGGTGTTCAATTACGCATGTCTGCTAGACTCTAGACTGCTTGCAAGAAACATTCAGGTTGCAAAAGTGCCCCACCCACAAGCCTATCTTCTTGCTTTGCGGATTCTTATCCTCATAGACTGCAAGTCCGCCTTGTTTGATGACTTCACAGCGATGATTCCTTGGACAGCAGTGTGGTGCACACTGTGCTGATCAATCTGCCGTGCGCCGTTGCAAACAATCTACAGTATGTCAGTATGTGCATGATTGTCCAGACATCCCCATGCCCGTTCTGTAAGGGGTCCTTTCTCCGATTGTTTATAGACATAAAATGGTCTCCTGTAACCCTGCCAGGTGACAAGAATGAACACTCCTAGTACCTGACAAATGTAAGAAGTCAACACAAAGCTCCTCACGCCTCGTTTTCATCCACAAGCCTTGCACACACAGTATTGCCTCTATAAAATGAAGCCCCAACTCCTAAAACGTCTGAGGAGGGGAGTGCTAGCACTTAGCAAACCTTTAGTTCTGTTCGAACGCTGGTTTCCAACCGGCAAACGGAGGATAGGATCTCAAACAAGTGTCTGGACATCTTCCTCCGAGCAGATATGCTAACAGAGTTGACGTCTCGAGATTTTAGCCGTTCTTAAACATGTTATTTTGCAACCATGGTTTGTCTTCTCCTCCTGGCTCACAATTGGTGTTTTGAATGGCGCTGATGCCTTGACATGATGGACTTGGGAAAGCAAAGCTGCTCGCACAGCAAACATATACAGTAAATATGCTTAAATATGTTACATGTTGCTTAAATTGCTTCAAGTGATCCGCACCATGATATTTCAATAACTTGTCTTCATGCCATGGCATGGTGGAGAGCATGTTGCCATGGTCGGGGTGTTCGATTTTGTTTGTGGGTCCTCAGGCTTGGGGTTGCTGCTTTAGTGTTGGGGTGTTGCCAGGGTCTACAGTTGGCACCCAAAAGCGCGACCCTGTGACAACCTGCCACGCAAAATGCCACACACCGGTAAATATAGTGTTGTGCTTGTGGCTGTGGTTGTGTCTGTGGGTGCATCTGTGGTTGTGTTTGTGTGTTGTGTGGGCACTTGCTGTTGAGGTCCGAGCGTGCCCACTGTGATCTGGCGATTGCTTTTGGGGTATGGTGCTAGGGCCACTCCAACCTGGCGCATGCTGTTGCGGCCCAGGAGTGCCCATGCGATTTTCGCGTGCTGTTGTGGTCCAGGAGTGCCCGCTGCGATCGGGCGCTTGCTGTTGAGGCCCGGGAGTGCCCACTGCGATCTGGCGCTTGCTGTTGAGGTCTGGGAGTGCCCACTGTGATCTAGCGCTTGCTGATCTTGCTTTTGAGGTCCGGCAGTGCCCACTGCGATCTGGCCTTTGTTGTTGTGAGGCGAGGAGGAAGCGGAGGAGTTGCGGGTTCCTCTTCAAAAATCTAGCAACCCTCACCTGGCAGGTGGGGAAAAAACCACACCCAGAATCTTGTCGTCGTACTCGTGGAGCGCGGCAAACATGAGACCCCGCGTCTCCCCAGTCATCATGGCAATGGCATACGTACTGCCCCCGCCATGCAAGTTTGAGTACGATCCTCGGATTCAGATTGCAAACATCCTTGAATATCCCAGACACGACCACAGTAAGAATGTGTAAGAATGTCGGTCTCTCTAGAAATGACTCTTACAGTAGATACTCCTCGTCTTCCTGAGGATTTTCTGGGCAAAGCCGCCAACCTTCACCCAAGGGTTCCTAGTATCATTGCCTTTAGGCACTTGGCGTAAACTTGCAAGAGCTGGAAATCAATCAAGGCTGCATGTTCCAGAAGAGGGTAATTTCAAGCCAGTCCCCTGCCCAGAAAACAATCAAACAAGGTTGTCATGATTTTCTGAACATGGTGTGTGTGTGTGCAACTACCCAGGGCCGGTCAAGTTTCCATAGTACTTTGCAAAGGTTTTCTCCAAAATCGGCGCGAAAAGCTTGTCGGTCCCATTTGCAAATGCAAGCCTCGGCGGCCCGTACCTGGGTGTCGGCAGGTACAAGGAAACAATCCAAAAGAATCCGTGTCAACAGTGATATATGCTGATCATTCCAGGTACCAAGGGCCAGGAAGGCAAGGAATGTAGTCATCGATCACAAAAGTGCTCCTCTTTTCCAGCTGGTCGGCATTGAGGTCGAACAAATCTCAGTCTTTTGCGAACTCACACGATACCAAATGCTATTATATATTGTATTGTATGTGTTGTGCGTGTGTTAGTAAGGTGTGTATGTGTGTGTGTCTGTGTTGTAGCAGGCTTGAAAATCTCTCTGTAAAAAATGGGCCTCGGATGTGAAGACTGTCACAGTTGGATGGCCCAAACAACGGGCTCTACCACTAAGAGAGCTACTCTACCCATAATTACCCGTTCAAAGAAAACAACTCCAGCTCAGGTTGCGAACCATCCCTGTTTTGGGGGGTGCACACTTAGCCGCTAGATGCCACTAGTAGCACATACACGAAACATGTAACTGAGCTGCTTGACTGCTTCATGCTACGCTTGTGGATTGACCTCACAGGAAACAAACACATGATGCCACCCAGTCGTCCTGAAGCAGGAGATGGAAAATCTAAACGATCTAAACATCCCAACCTCATGAAACAAATCGACCTCAGACACCATTTCAGGAGAAGCACGCAGCTCATACCTCCCATCCTCAGCCAGCTCCTGTGAAGGAAAGCGAGAAAAATTGTTTCGTCTTTCTTGGTTTGTGTCATGTTCATCGTGTTCCTGGTACGGGCAATCCCTTTTACTGTATATCCTTTTTGTCCTTCCCAGACACCTTTAGCGGTGGCAAGGAGATGATTTCCCTCTCATGTTCACCTTAAAACTCACCTTGCGTGGTTTCTCCGGGCTGTTGTGCCGTTGTTTCATGCTCCGAGCCTTGGAGCAAGTTTCGACCCCACAGAGTAAAGACATTCAGAGTGAGTCTAGTCAGTCGTTCGTCAGTCTAGTGACTACCCTCTCTTAGATAACTCGTAGAGTTCTGCCGACTCAGACACATGGGTGCTTTCTTTGTCAAGGTTATTTATTGTATCTGCCGACCCCGGCCTATAGCCAAAGCCTAGGCGGGGAGGCGCCTGGGACACCGCAGGGTGAAGCAGTTGGCCAAGCCTTGCAGAACCCTTCCAAGCACTTCCAAAGGCATGTGTGCAGGTGCATTGTGGTTGGCCGCGGCCTCTCGGTGGCCTGTCCGAGGCCTGCCTCTCCCCAACATAGGCCCAAGATAGCCAACATATCCCCAACATATGCCCAACATAGCCTCCAAGATGGCTCAACATAGAGCCAACATAGGCCAACATGGGGCCAACATACGCCAACATAGGCCCAACATAGGCCCAACCTAGGCCAACATAGGCCAACATACGCCTAACGTAGGCCAACATAGGCTCCACATGGGCCCAAGATGTGCCCAACATAGACCACATGGACCCAACTTGGCCCAACCTAGGGCGAAGATGCGCGCCAGATAGCTTAACTTTGCTCAATATAGGCCCCACCAAGGCCAACATAAGCGTGACATACGCCCCACAGACCCAAGTGGGCCGGCGCCCGGCTGTTAGGCGTAAGCCTTTAAATATTTATAGTGTTTTCATTATTTTCTGTATTAATACTGTATATGTTGACAGCACAATGTATGGATTCCCGTCTCCACGATTGATGCAAACTTATGTGACATGGTGTTCGATTCTCTCATCATGCGCCAATTTATGGCACGTCTGGCAAGAGTTCAAAAACTTAAAAGCATTTCAAACTGCAAAAACTTTCTACCGAGAGCTGTGTAAGATTGCCTGTTTGCTTCAACCATCTTTCAGTGAGACAGGGGAGTAAGCTGAGGCTCGCTTCTGCGGCATCAGGCCATGAAAATGACGATATCAACCTGGACTTGTAAAAGTGGCCTGTGGTCTGTGATCTGAGAGCTCTCCGTCATCGGAGTGCCTATTGGTGGAAACACAGTCCCCTGAGAGACCTATATGGAGCAATCCATCATCTGTGATTGAAATCTGACGTGTTAAGCTGTCAATTGCTTCTCAACCTTCCCCACGTCTCCTTCCTCCCAAAGACATAATCTTCCAAATAATGAGGAAACTCCGCCACAGCGGCAATTGCCGCAATTAGCCAACAGTCTCCGACGCGGCCTGCGACAAAAACTTCCACAGAGTCGCTGGTCGCAAGCTGCAATCCACAAACGTCCAGAATCACACAAATATCACAAAATCCATCTTGTCGTCACTCAGTTGTTCACAAGATAATTTGACGGGAAGCGTGTCAAACCCCCATCTGCCAAGGGCCATTGTGTCTGGCCTTGGCAAATATCTGCGGGCTCTGCATTGTCCCCAAACAGGGTCGGCTCGTCGACAGTCAAAGCAGGTGCCTCACTTCACTTGTCAGAACAGTTATGTATATGATATATATATATATATAGCGCAATTGTCCCGGTTGAACTACTAAAGCATACTAAAGGAGATTGAAGGAGTGAATGTTTGGGCAAGGGCTCCTGGCAAATGACTTTCGACCAGGACATGCACGACTCACCAAGTCAAAAAAAAGTCAAGCTGCTCGCTTCCACATAGGCTCCTGATGTGAGTAGATAGCGGTTCAACATGGTTCAACAGGGTTCACGCCTGCAGCTTTGTGGTCTCACCAATGGGCAACTACGCACTTTGTTGAGAAATGATCAATGATCACGCTTGACACTAGAATGCTAGGGCTGCTAGGGTGCCTTCTTGGGCTGGCTACTGATTTCAACATGTTGTTCGGCATCCACCACCTGACGCTCAACTACAGCGCTTGCTTGCAGCTGGCCGTGGCTGCCACGTTATTGTGCTCTTGTGAAAGCCGTATGGCTGTTTGTGACTTGTTTATCTCAAAACACATCAGCAGGAGCTATGTTTGTAGTGTTTCACCCCAGGTCAGAATCCGGCCCAGCGGCTCCTGTCCTGTCCCAGAGATTCTCGCACTCTATCTCCAAGACTTTGTGAAGAATGCGGAAAGTCAGGATCCTTCCATCCTTCTTTCACCTCTCGTTCTGCAAAACTTAGGGACAGCGCCTCCACGTAGAGGGTCTCCTTCCAATCGGAACTGGTGGGCCAATAGGCCCGATCAGGCGAAAAGCAGAAGGTCTTCCTGAAAGCAACGGACGACGCGGCGTCACTCAGGCGTGCAGCGACCTGGACCTTTTGACTTAGAATTCAGACTAGATGTAAAAAAAGCTTAAGTTATATAAGCATATACGTATCATATACAGTATTGTTTTGTTCGGGCTTCCGGAGGGTTTGCCCGATTGAGACGAAATGAGTAATTAAATATACAGTATAATTAGGTACAGTAATAATCCTAAGTAAGTAAAGGTCAAATTCAAAAAACAAAGAAACTGAACACTTGCAAGAATAAAGACCAGCTGTCTCAGATGTGCGCCAGGCATAGGTGTCATTTTCAGCCTCTTCGCACAGCATCCAAACATTCTCAAGTTTCCAAGCATTCTTCTGGACATAAACCTTGGGCACTGCTTGGGAGAACGGTGATTTTTCAGCACGCCAAACAGAAGCGCTGATGCACCAGTTGCACCAGCATCAAATTCTCACATGTTCAAACGAACGGAAGCGTAGGAAAAACATGGAAAAACATATGCTGAAATGATATACCAAATTAGCAAAATAGAGAGGTTTCCTGGCGATGTTGTCCTCAGACGCACTGAAATACACCGGCCGCCCATTCAAGAGCTCCTGGGCCCATTATGCAGTGAGCGAGTCTGTCATGGACATGAACTCAAGCACAAAATTTTGAAACTGGACATATATTTCACTTCCAATGACCACGTCACACCCTGTGCTTACAAATGTAAACGGTTGAAAATCATCAATAGTGTTTTGAAAAGCCACCGAATCTCAACCTGGGTTATGATGACGTTGCCAAACCGCCTGTCATTTTCGTCGGCTCCTCTTGTTTTTTGAAATGCCCATAGTTACCTAGGCTGATGTTGATACTTTTGGCGGTGCTTCACCAAAACAACCACAGTTACGGACTTGAGCCGGACTTCTGATCCCCAAGTTTGAAAAAGTGCAGCTCGATTCGATACGGCAAGAGTATCCAATGCGGACACTTTGAATCTCCATTGAAAGGCAGGCTTTCCAAGACTAGATTCGAAAGCTTCTAGTTATATAATGCAACAAAGCAGCCACCCTTGACGGCTTTGGGCACTTCAGCTAGCCTTGGCAGTTAAAAATACTTAAAGCACACACTTGCCCACCCCACTGCCCGCTCTCTCTCCCTCTCTCTCATACGTTCATCTCCAACACACTCAGTGGTAAGGTCTCGAACTGAAGATCTACCATTGATGTTGAAATTGGCCAGCTGGGCAAGCCAGCGGCCGAAAAGGATGTCGGTCATGTCAGTCATAATATGTCGAGGCTGTAGAGCTTCAATGGCAGGTGTCGGGTTGCGCTGCAAGTCTTTGCAGGTTTCTCGTGTTTTCTTCTGTTTCTTGGTCTCCCGCCCTGTTCTCCGTGCTTCCTTGTCCCGAAGTTTCAGATTGATTTGAGACTTTCTGAGTTACTGGTCTATGTCCGGTAGTGCTGTCTGCTTTGCAGTGGCAGGCATTTGCGTGCTTTCCATCAGCCTTGGCTCCAGCAGGGCACACAGCACGCTCATCATTGCGGCCCGCAATTGGCCCTTCGGTTCATAAGTGGTCCTTGTCCTCCAAGAGGGATTTGACCCTCCCCACCGCAGCCTGATAGATGAGGGCATTCTCACAGGTGTTACAGGAACTCCGTATGGACGAAGGGCGGAACGGTTCAGGGCGAGGCGGCGCCGGATTAGGTTCCTTCAAAGCAATCCAGCATCCAGTAAACGCACGAAGCTCGGTAGCCTCCCTTGGCGCCAAACAAGTGTAGGAGTTGCCATGGCCCTTGCTGCTATTGCCCAATCTCTCTCTCTCTCTCTTTCTCTCTATCCCTATCCCTATCTCTATATCTCTCCCCCTCTCTCTCTCTCTCTCTCTCTGTCTCTCTCTCTCTCTCTCTTTCTTTCCGTTTCTCCCTCTCCCTCTCCCTCCCTCCCTCTATCTCTCTCTCTCACTTCATGATCGGCGCAGGTGCCAAGGCCACTGCCAAAGACAAAACAATGGAGCCGGGGAGCAGTTCCTCATCCGTCTTCTTCTCCAGTTCGCAGGTCATACCTGGTTCCTCCTCATAACCTCTGCAGGGCACAAAGAATGTACTTTGCGGGTTGCACATGTTCAAAGCACAAGGTCACCAGGCCCAACTCTGCGATCGTTGCTCTTGCCGCTTACAGTCACAAGCCACAGCATGACCGAAGATCCATGTGCTGTTTCTTGACTCATCTAGACTCGAAGCTAGCTCTACAGCCCAACACAGCATAAACTCCGCAAAGCTGTCCCCTTATGACACTAGCGTGGCCATGCCTTTCTTGTCCAGTTGCCAAACCTGAGTATCAAGCGGGAAAGCCTATGCCAGAAGCTCTGGCTTCACTCACGGCTTGACATCGATTGAACAAGAACATGGGCTGACGATTTCATGTCCAGGACTCTGTGATAGTCCTGAGTGATCTCCACCCAATCCGCATGTTTCGTGGCGAAGGGCACAGGAGTGTGCAAACCCTGGTTCCTGTGGCCCAAGGAGCACTTCCCAAAAGTGGGTAAGGCATCATGAGTTATGAAAAAAATAATGAAACACAAAATAAGAGTGGAATCTACAATTCTAGCAATTCCACGACTCGTCATCTGATCCGTCTGATCCATCCATATGCATCCGGTGTCTGGGGACGATTCATTGAATCACAAATGGCCCGCAATGGATTACGAATCCGAAAAAAGCATCAGTGTCCCAGATTTGGACCGACAACATCAACATACAAACCCCCCTTACGTGCACAACCCCAATAATTATATAACCAGTATGCCGCCAGTATAACTTAGTACAGTATACCTGTAGAGGTTATCTAAGTTATCCTTCTCACGTCGACAGAACCGTCAATCTGAGGAACTTCCCAGCTTTCATTTGCCATGTGCGGTGCGCGCTTGGTCTTCAGCCGGGCAGTGGCATTTCGGCTGGGCTTCCAATAAATGGACCACCGACCATAGCCGCTGTGGTAGAAGAGCGTCCCTGACAAGGAGCACGGCATACATTGAAAGCAAAAAGGCCTTCCATCACGAGTCATCATGAGTCCGCCTTCATTGGTGTCCTGCTGTGAAACCGGAACGGTTTGGTTCCGGTTCGTGAGACAAACCCAAACAATGTGGAACCTGCAGAAACCACACATGGCTCGACAGGGCATGCTTGGGAAACAAAAGGTGCCTAATTATTAGTTGACCTGCCTTTCACCCAACAAAATAGATCAAAATAGGATAAAACTCGCCTTGCAACTCCTCAGGGCGCCTTTGAGATATGTTGGGGAAACACTGGTGGGCCCCGGCTGGACTGAACATGGACGTCCCGCAAGTCCGATGGTATCATAGGTTTGGACCCACTCCGGCATATCAGCATATCTCATCCTGAAAGTCAAGACCAACGGGGTCTGGCTCAAATGGGGCTTTGGATCTCAACGGTGCAAAGTGATGGGCTTGAGCGCAAGGGCATGAATTTGTCTGCAGACTTTTGAGGGTCGTTACGTCTTGCAATCTCTTCACGTCAGCTCGGAAAACGATATCAGAATGACAGCGGCTTCGCTGCATTAAACCATGCCTATTGCATCTGGTCGGCCAAACAGGCACGTACGAGTATTAGAAACAGCCATGGGCCACAGTCCATTCAGCAAAGCCACTCTTGGTGGCTGCGCAAAAAAAGGTGGGGCGGTGATTGTAACCTCAGTAAAGCAGTGTCGGTCTGGGCAACGCTCTACTTTGAGCCTGAACAACACAAAGAAGGCACGGTTAATACAACTAAACCAATTGATGCAGGAACCCAATTGTAGTAGAGGGTTAGTTTGAAGCACCTGACGGTTCTGAGGAGCGGTTTTGAGAAACGTTGGTCTAAAATGAAGGTTTACCATTGTGCAGTCCATCAAAGCGATCAGCACAAAAAACATGATCATCAAAAAGCATTAGTTTTTTGGGCGATGTATACTCTCATTTTTCCAAAGAAACAGATCGAATGAAGCATAACCACAGCCCCCCAACTGTCCTCCAAAGTTCTTGCCCAGGTCGAAAGTTCTGGCGTTTTCTGCAAATATCCTCGCCAAGGTATACAGTTGTAAGTGGCTGCAGTGTTGCACAAAATAGAAACGATATACGACATGCACTGGCCCCATCATGTCCCATCCAGTTTTCAAATTTTCCACCAGCTTGAGTTTGAGCAACAAAAACCGATACGGTACGGCATATGAGCAAACATGATACTCGTCACAGCATAAGAATATAGAATCCAAACACGGCCATGTTGACAAAAAGAATCGAAAAGAATCGTTCATACAGTTTTCCAAGGATAATATGCCCCAAAAGTCAGCACCTGTTTATTGGTTGTTCTTGGGCCCGGCTGCACGTAAACAATCGCGCGCGCGTGCTCAGCTGCTCTCCAGACTCAGCTTTCACGTGCATTTTGACCCACGTATGGTTTCCTGCAACCCATCCCGTACATGGCCGATATCACAACATTGTCATCGATTCACAACATTGTCATCAATTAGTCGTGTGATTAAAATGGGGTGCGGCGGTGGGGCGAGGCAAAGTCAATATCACAACATAGTCATCGAAATCTCCGAAAGTCGCGGCCTTTTCCGCAAACCTTGAACCGCTATGTTACACACACATGATTTCGTGCGTGTCATCCTTGTGGCAGGGTGCACATGCTCAGTTCTGACACCCCGCCTTAAGGGTTTGTGAAGTTAACAAATCCTTACCTCTTTCCGAAAGCATTCCAAATTCAGATGTGAAACTTCTGCTCTCAGTACTCGATGTTCTAGTCTGGAGCTCTGTTTTCCTTGTCTTCGTTGTAGCCTTCATCATCAGTCGCATTGGGCTCTTCATCGACTTCAACCTCTTCGTACTCTTCTTCATTTCCTTCTTCTACTTCGATTTCTTCGTTCTCTGAAGTCTCGTTGCCTTCTTCCTCTGGGTAATGCATGTCAACCCATGCATCTGGGTCTTCACATTCACCCATCTCCTCAGCTCTCTTGACTGCACTCGAAGATTCTGCAGCTTCTGAGCCTTCATCAACTTTCTCCTCATCTGCAAGCGTCTCATTGTCGTCAAAGAAACTGAGACTATTGCCACTTTCCATCCACTTGTTGAACGTAATTGTGGCTGCATTGTATGCTCTGCCATCTCTTCTCCCACAAAGCAACAGCAAATGTTGGAGATACTTCAGGGTGTTCCGTGCATCCTTGATCTCTTGTCGAAGTCCAGGGTCTCTTTGGTACTCGAGTTCCCTGATGAACTCATTGAGGTTCTTGCGCGCCAAAGTCAGCGAAACCTCCGGTCCATGGCCCTCATTCAAGAGCCTTCTCCTGAACTCCTCAAACTCGTCCTCATTGAACGGGATGCCATCTTCACCCCAAAGCAGCATTGCCTGGATGGAACCCAGGACAAACCAGCCACGGCCACTATTGGCCTCATTGTTCTCCATCATTTGTTGTGGCCTGAGACCAAAGTTCACAAGGTCCTCTGCCACCATGTCCGACAGACTTGGGCGAAAGATGTCGTTCTCCATCATCGCCTCTCTCTCTGCCTCTGTTCCTCTCCTTCTCGGTGCCACTGAAGAACTTGGCTCTTCACTTTCTTCTTCTTCTCTCATCTCTTCTTCTTCACTTTCAGGTGCTTCCATAGTATGTCCAACTTCGTTCTGAACACTCCTCTCTGGCCTCGTCGGCGCTTCTTCATCTTCTGCTGCTGTTGTCGCTTCTGCTGTTGTTGAACTGCTTCCTCTGCCAGCAGCAATATCTCCATTTGACTTTTGTGCAATTCTTCTCCTTGGTCTTGGAGTGTCATGTCTTGTACCTGTTACTGGTACATCGGTGTACCATGGGTTGTCATCTCCTGCACTGGGGTTGTAGCCATGGCCACCATCATCATCATCATCGTCATGTGGCTCATCATCGTTGTCATCAGCCTCATCGTCTGCTTCTTCTTCTTCACCTTCATCCTCTGTGTTAGCATCACCTGCTATTCGCATTGGATCTTCATTTCTCCTCAAGTTCAACTCTGCTCGGATCTCTTTCCATGCAGTCTTGTATCGCGACAGGGATGCTCGAAACTTCTGTAGGTTGAAAACCATCACAGACATCACGAAAAGAAGAAACAACACTGTAACGACCAACAACAAAATGCACCATGTACATTGACGTACTGTGGACTTCATTCCTTCACAACTGTCGTCTTCTGGCGCACACCCTTTCAACCATCCAGCCATCACCATCATCTGCACAATGCGCTGAACACTTGGTGTACTCAAAGTTTGGAAACTCTCACTGCATAGTCCAATGAGTTTTGCCAAGTATTCTCTTCGTTCTCTGCTGAGCGCTTTGGTGTTCAAATCAGCTGGATTCTCCTTTGTCGGGATGCGACCAATCTTGAACCATCCTCTTCTCATCGCTTCCTGTCCCCACAAAATGCGGGTACACAGGTGCTTGGCCCTGCCTGGGCCTAGGCGCTGGAAAAAGGCCTGAGCCGACGTCGAATCCAGGTAAAGCTTCATCTCAACCTCAACACTGTCACCTGGATCTTCTTTGCATCCTAGCAGGAACTGTAGCGCCTGCTTCAAAGCCACTCCTTCGGCAAGAAGACCTGTAGCTGCCAGCACCTCAGCCTCCATTGAACTCAAGGCTACCGAAGTTTGCCCTCTCGAATGAGAGTGGACACAATTGCCGTTGTGGAAGATCAAACCTGAGCTTGTACTCCTTCTCGAGGATTTTGATGATGCCCAGTCACTGTCACTGAACAACTCAAGCTTGTGATTTCCACCTTTCTTCACTTGATCAGACCTCAAATTCTTCCATCTGCAGAAGACACTGTTCTGACCTTCATTCTTCTCATATCTCAACACCATATCTTGTGTTGCCTGCAAGTAGGACGTGAGCTTCTTGATGGCTGCAAGCGCTGTCTTTGTTGGGTTGGCCATGTACGTTGACAACAATCGTACACTGTGTTGAACATCAATCCTCTCCTGACTTAGGTAGAGGCATAGGCCAAGAGCACTTCTGAACAACTTGCTGTCCTCAGCATTCAGCCGTTCCTCCTCCGAAACCATTGCAGCGTCGAAGACGTCCAGGCTTGCATGCGAAGGCACACCTCGGCCCCGCCTGTCCTGAATCTTGAGCATGCTAATCAACTTCGGTACGTACTTGCCATTTGCAGCAATCTCCAAACCATCAGCATCAAATGCCAATCGCCTCTTGAGGTAAAACAATGTCCCAGGTCGTGATGTTCCATAGGGACCATCTGCTTTCAACTTCAGAAGCTTGGAAAATGACTGATGAACTTGTCATGCTCTTCTTCTGCTGCAACTAAGATGATGTCATCAATGTGCACGGACAGAAACTGCTTGCCATCTTCATGTCTATAGATTGTG